TGATCTTGGAAAAAGTTTTTCTTGATTTTCTCTTTAGTTTGACTCAAGGAATCACGACGTAAAATATGTCTCTGTCTTTTTTGAGCACTCTGTATACATTCTCGAATTATACCTGATGTCTGAAGCTTAAAGTTTTAGTACTTTAATCCCGATTATAGAGGTTAATAAGCCTTAGTCACTAACAAGACTACAAGATCGCGCCACTCATCATACACCCATCTCCATTCATACTTGGCTTAAAATACCTCCTTTGTATGGTCGCAATTTCATTGAAAAGTATTAAAATATTAATGTATTTGATTTCACAATTAGCTTTGGAAGTAACTAATAAGTTAATAAACTAAACTAAAATAGCTAGAGTAGAACATTTCGGACTATAAATGAATCAGTGCAGTTGTTTACATATCCAGTACAGTTTTATATTGTAGAGTGTGGGTTACTACAAGCTCTGTAGATTTATTGTTTACTCGGTTGAGACAATATGTACTTTGGTTTAGTTCAATAACCAAACGGCGTTGATTAAATTTCTCGTCAAAGTTCCTTCAGTGAGAGTATTTAGATAACGAACTTCCCATGCAATTTGCAGCTGTCATATACCTATCACAGCTTATCACTTGCGACTTTTAGTACCAGCATTTGTATATAAAGTGAGTTTTTAAGTAATGTTATAAAATGTTTATGTTGAAAAATTCATTTTAGGTTGTCCTGGTTTTCGTTATTTTATATTGTTGTATGAACTATTGCATCGTATACCGTCAGTTTCAATGAATTCTTCCGATAGGGAATACGTTTTACCCACAGAGAAGTTATTACTTATTTGAGAAGTTATTTATATTGCTTCTCTGTGTTTACCTTAGTTAGCATAATAAGACCTACACCCAGGACAGTTTTACCTTTTCATTTTTGATGTAGGAAAAAGCAAAGACAGTATTTGTTCAAAATAATATATTACTATGTCTAATTTTCATGCAATTCAAATTATCTTGTGAACCTGTATGATTATAGTATGGGAGTTGGGTCTTATGGTGTAAACATTTTGTTTTTCAGAATTTTATCGTACAAATAAAAATTCCACAACTTTCCTTTAAACTATAGTAGAGCATAGACAACCAATAATTTAGTATATTGACGTTTTGCGGCACAATTAAAAGTTATGGAAAATACAAAAACCCGTACATTTGAAATTATCAAGTTATTCCTATTGCAAATAAGAATACTCGTAGTTTGCTTGTTATCGATATATTTTTTGAAATTTGGCAAACTGATTTACTTCATAGTAAACTGTTAACATTTCACTAAAAACACACTTTACTAGGCCTACCTTAAGTGTAACAGCAAGCCTACTCGTTGAAACTTACGTCAAACCCAATGTTCTGTAAACATGGAAAAATCTGACAGGTTTACGGAAATATTTCAGTAAAATTTCATGCTAGAGGGAATTCATTTTGTCTGCAGGTTTACTGCGGTGGGGTTAGTTTTGTTTAAACATACATTAGTTAAGACTTGGTTTTTATACACTAAGTTTAACATTTACGTATCAATAAACAACCCGTTTCATATGATTCACATTTTAAATATTATTTGAATATTTGCACATTGTAAACTAGGTCCATAACTAAAAAAACTCATTCGTAAATATTTTGCAAGACACAGTTTGCTCTGGTCACATGTTCGTCAGGGATTGAGTGTGTGAGTGTGTGTTACTGGTTGTGTTTACAAAGGTAACACTCTGAGCCAATAGAAGTGATGCTTTACACTGAGAATGATTTCAACAGTTTAACCATCTTTGTATAGTCTTATAGTTTGTTTTAATGATGTTTAAAACAATACACTTGGTAATATAAACTATTACCAAAACTATTTGTTAAAAAAACCCCGGCTACAACCTAAAAATGAAGATAGGACTTTATATCCATCGTCATGTATAAAATAAATAGTATAAACTTAATGCTATTTACCATATATATATATATATATATATATATATATATATATATATATATAACAAATCAAAACACCGCTTATCGTGTACCATAATTACTTGACAGAATAATTTGTTCATCTCTTGAAAACAACGGACTTCAAGTGAAGTCCTACTTGTCAGTCCTTTAGTCGCTTGAAAATTCCAACGAATACTAGTTTAAAACATTTCTTTGGATTAGCTTAAATTCCCTGGCCAATTTTAAGCTTGAGTTCAAGTGAATCTCTGTTGTGACTTTGAAAACATTGCGCTATTAGGGAACATCAAAAAAATAAAAAAGGCAACGGAAAGCCTCCAACATCGAAGGCTTGGCAAACCTCTTTAGACTTTGAGTTACAGCAACTCGCACTCTTAACACATTTGATGTTGTGCGAAGGGTTTTGCAACTTCCATTGGTAATTTTAAACGTTGAACTTGTTATTCCAAATAATTCTACCCAGTTGGTTTCCAATCTGGAAAGGTGACATGTCGACCACTTTTCAAAAGAAATACTATTCTTAAAATAGGTTCCCACTGCAAAATTACAGTGTAATAACAACATACACCATGTTTACTAAAATGGCATAGTTTAATTGAGGTTATGCACAGCTGTTCTTTCATTGTTGCATTACTCATTATGTTACCGATGTGATTGGGATAGAAAATTGGGAAACTCTCATTGCCTCACTCCTACATAGGTTTATTATATACTCCCAGCCAAATAAATGGACATTCATTCTCCAAGACTGATGATCCAATGCTGTATAGGTTTGCTATCCAGGATTAAGTCATTTCCTTTAGGAATTAATTTCAGGTCATAACATTGTATTTTATGAGTTATGATCTATGCTCTAAATGCAACAAAGTAAAGTAAAAATGGATTATGGAAAATAATTTCACACAAAACTGGTAAAACAATGTCCCTTTAGAATCATGACAAGAATTTTTTAGTAATAGTTCATTTCAGTGTCACAGAAAAGGCTTCAAGCTCGCGACAACTGATTGGTATCAGTGTGACATTTTGACTGTGACAAAAGATACATTACTATGCTTTTTATTTAAGGATACAGACATGACATTCATTTAAAGTGACAATTACGTTAAAAGTATATGATTCATTAGTTTTATGTTGACGTATATGAATAATTAGAACCAACTGGAGGAGTTAGTAATCAAATCTCTATTTTTAAGCCAGAGATTTAGATGTTAAAATCAACTGTGTGTTTTCCGAGAGATATTATGGCGAAGTTTTACTCAAACTATACATATATATAAAATGTTGAACGAATAGTGTTTTTTGCCTCTGGGGACACCAAAATGAAAAAGTTAATCCGTCCGGTGTCTAGGTTTTACCATGCATCCTACGATAATAGCTACTTCTCTACAGCGAAATTCGCTAACACTTATAAGTAGTCTTTAAATTTAATGTATTATTCGAAATGAAATGTTTTCAACAGTGCTATACTTGAAACTTGGACTTCTAACAGTTTTCAAACAGTAAATTGTATTATGAACTGTATGGATAAAATTAGAGTTGAGACTCATTTATTAATTAATGAAAGTGTATTTCCATTCTAAGTTTCAATGTTAATTAGGTCAATGGTAAAAGTCCATATGGGAGAGTAATACTGGAATGTTTATATGAATACTTTGTAAATCCTGATTTAAATTTGCAGTTTGTGACGTATTGAACACTAAAATCCAATTAAAGACGTGTTTATTCATTAATTAAAGGGTATCTTCATTCCAAGTTTTAAATATGTTAATTGGATTAATCAAAGTTCATATGGAGAGTTACTACTGGAATATTAAACCAAAGGCATCTAAAATTAGAACGGTAACTAACCACAACGAGACCACACACTACTAAGTTGGAAGGCATAGGTCGACTAAACATACCTTAACTTAGCACTGAAGTGGATACGTTTATACATCATGAACTTGTAGCATGTTAAGATACTAAATTGAAACAAGGAGAACTTATAAATACATATCATTATTAATCTTTTTAAACCAATTATATTATTTCTACAAATTGCATGCAAGGCTGTATTCATACCGGTTGACAAGATTTTCTTGAACAGCTACTCTTTGTAAAATTAAAACGGTAAATGTTTAAAACATCCATTTTGTTGAAATTAATAAGGCTCAATTATATCTAAAGAATATTATTAAACTATTTTAAGATATAAGTTACTAATTAGTACATGAATTGGTATGTCTATCATTGAAAGGAGTTCTCGTACACAGAGAACGATATTCTACTCTGTAGACAGTTGGGCCAAATACAACAGCTTAGTGTGGCCTCCGAACCACCGAAATCACATGACTACAAACAGCTGGTGATAGGCAGGATTTGAACTCATGTCTCCAGAGTTGAAGCACCTAGTAACTAAAATGGTCGCTTTAAAGCTAAATTTACTGATAAAATAAACGTATTTAAGAATAATAGCTTACGGTGTATTTATTTCTGTCAATAGACTAAATTGCACACATATTATGAAACGAAAAGATTTTGGATTATTGAAAGTCATGCTAAAATATATCGCATTATTGTCTATGAAGAATAAAGGAATGGTATTTTATACATCTTAATAACAATACTAAAATAAATTACCAATTAATATTTGATCAAGTAATTGGCCCGGTAATTCCTTATATCAATGCATTCTGTATACGTGTTGGACTTGTAGATATGTTTAATGGGATTGGATTTTGTCGACCCTAACTAAATCATCGTATGATTTTTATGTAACGAAGCTGTATAAAACAGATCTTCAACCGAGGATACAGTATATAAAAACTATATTTCTACTCCCTACTATACTTCTATTACTCTATACTTCTATTACTCTATACTTCTATACTTCTTCTCTTATATACTTTTCCACACTATACTATATACGTATATACTATAATTTAGATGCGGTGTATTATTAATTTCTATACAAGTGTAACGGTAGGTACATCACAATGGAGGTACTCACTGTTACTTTGGGTGACGTGGCTCAGGAATGAAATCCAGCACTCGCTTACAAAACCCAACTTTATTAAAACCTAAAACGATACAAAGAACACAAAGAAAATCAAATAAAAAGGTAGAGTAGACTGGAACTGTATAAATCATTTAGTTAGAAACTGAAACCCCACTTTGGAAAAGACTCTAAACCCCAAAATTGGAAAACCCTTAACATTGTCTTACCTGGACCCTTAAGGTCCTTAAGGGCCTTGGGCTCCAGCTTCCCCAGCAGGACCCCGTCCTCTTGTGCACCTCACAAACGCTACCCACCAAAACTGGCCCCTTGATCAAGTGCACTGGCCTACTTAAAGTCAACAACCTTCTGTAGGTCAGTACAACAAGTTATCGTTTAACAACATTACCAGCCTACTCGCACATCATTGCCAAACACTTCCTCTTTACAATATTTGACCCTCCTTTTAGACAAGAAGTCCTAAAATCGGGTATCTGCATTATCCCATGAAAACCTATTGGTAGTAGGTGGGATTTAACCCCAGGCTCCAGAATAGCAGTATTTAATTACAACCAATTAATAAATGGTTTAATAGCTATTTACCTTACAAGTGTAATAAGAGCGTTTTTACATCCTGTAGGCGAATGTTGTACAACGATCTGAAGCGAGTTGCATAATTTTAAGTGATGTAAACACGCTCTTGCGTAACGTGTAACGTACAAGATTTTACCTGACCCGACAATATACAGGGGGTAACGTACGATATTTTTCATTATCCATTTCACTCATCTTCTAACAGTAACGTTCTTTTACAAACAAATCTAGGTTAGGAAAATACTTTAAAGCATAACAATAACATTCAAGCGCACGGCTGATTTCTATCGTTGAGCGTCTTTGGCTCCATAGAGGTGTATTTTATTAAGTTAAGCACTCAATTTTGTTTGAATGGGTTTCATTACTTCACCGAGTGAGTTTTTGAAACTTTACTTCACCTAGTGAAGTAAAGAAGTTGTTTACATCACGCTTGGGATAGGGAAGTTTAACATGGTGGGTTGGGCAAATACCTTTAACTGTCCAGCGATCCTTTGAATACAACTGCAGTACACTACTGCAGTTTCAGCCCTCAGGGGGCTTTCTTCAGGAGACAAAGGAATTCAAAATTTTTCATTTACATGAATTCGTCTAATCGGAACTACGAGAACATAACACGGACACGAATACAAACATAAAAACGAATACAAATGTAAGAGTCAAAAGCATTTTTCTTCGGTACCGGTTGACGCGCAACGCGTGCGAGGAACTAGTCTAGACTCATCTGTTAATCACAACCAATTAATCAAAATACTAAAACGCAAGTTTTAAGACGAAATAATTATTTATCTAAAATTATAACTTAATATTGAACCACAATTTTTATCAGCATTTACCACGAATCTTCTATAAGAATTAAAACACAGTTACAATACAAATAAGCTGAGTCTAAGTAAAACTGGAATGCATTCTGTTGTGAACCTCTCGTTTTGAAATGCAAAGTTTCAAAAGCGAAATAAACGCTTCAGAGCTTTCAACTTTTTGATACACGCTTTATCTCAACCAGAGGATTTGTTTTGACAAGAGGTTTGTCATCGTCACAACGCTATGTTTTTGTCCGACATTTCTAGATTACTAAAAATAAAAACATTCTTCATCTTATCAATGCTATAAAATTCATATATTTATTCGTAAATTTAATCATACAGTTTAAAAATAATCGTAGAAGCTTTTTAAGAGAGGATATATTAACGAATTCAAACAATGCTTGGCTAAGAAAATACACTTTTAAGTTAAAAACTGAAAAAATAAGAATTTACTTTGTCCGAAAAAAATGCTGGTCTTCTACCAAGAACGATGTACAAAGCTACACTATTATTGCGAATCATATTGTTCAAATAAATTGTGGTATTGGTTTGTTTAGTTTCTCCGGTCAAAGGGCAATCGTGACAATCATAGAGCTGTGATCATTGATCAAATGATCAAGCCCTTGTGATCGTACCGTTGCCCAATTCAGCACACTTCATCTATTTTCAAAGGATGTCTTTTATTCACTACTGCTTCATACTTGAGTGGTAAATACGTATGAAGATATCAGAAGATTAAAAATAGTTTTAACAAAACTCTAAAGGTTTATTTTATGAATGCTGAACAAAAATAAATTTCATCAAACAAGTCACACTTTTTTCATAGAATTAGTCTTACTTAATCTATGCCTAAATAATAATTCTATAAACAGCTTTTAAACATATGTAATGGTGAGGGTAATATTATTTCCTACAGTTACGTGATAAAGCAGGCTTTCTCATACTGATTATAGCACGCAAGTAGCTGATTCCTGCATTTACTAGTGAATGCAGGAATCAGCTACTTTGCGTTATTATCCTCGCCCTCATTTCCCTTTGTCGTACTCATTTTACTTTCCCGCACTGCAGTATTCAAACGAACAACACAAAATAGTGTGCTTATAAGCACGTAATACGGGTATGCTTGAAAACAAGCTGGCAACACTGCTAAATAGATCAGCTGGTGCAGTGTTTATTTGTCATTCAATTTTACTATTTATACAATGACTTAACATAACCTATAAACCTGTTGTTACACGTTAACATAAACAGTAAAAACAAACAATTATATTCAGATTCTGATTCATTACATTTGTGAAATTTCTTCTTTTTTTTGCTAATTTGTGAAACAATTTCATTTAGGTTTGAATTTGTTCATTTGTGAAACTGTAAAGTAAAAGTCAACCTCTGTATACATACAATTACCCATTATATATGCTTTACAGTAACTATCGGAAAAATATAATGTATAACATGAGCGCAAATTCTCTTTGCACAATAGATACACAGATAGCTATTTTCCACTGATGTAAGATTTACCTATTTACTTGTTACCGAACTTTTTAAAGTAAAACATAGAAATGAAATGTAGAATTGGATTTCTTTTAACTACGAAACACATCATTTCACCCTTCCGTCAACATCAAAGACTTATCTTTCATTTCAAACAAGACCTCTTAAAACGTGTTACCGTTTGTGGAGAAAAATGCGACCGCCTTTTTAATCTTCTGTTTTATTTCAAACTATTTTTTTATGTTTTAAGCTAATTTAATGCATCGTATTAGTGCTAAAAATAGTAGTTGGTATAGTGTGTCAGACTAAACGTATATACCCAATATAGAAAAACAATATTTGCAAATTGGTTCGGGTTTAACGTTTAGATTAAGTAAAAACATTTTGAGAAATCTTATAATTAACATTTACTTAAGCCTTAATTTCACTTATAGAATGTATAAATATATATTGGGGTATAAGGAAGTAACTTGTTTGTTTGATAACAAATATATTGAAACAATTAAACCTAAGTACATCCGTCATAAAAGGTTCAAACTACCCTCTATTTCGGCTGATATATCAAATTATTGTTTAAAAGGCCCAAAAATCAAATAAATTGAAACGTAAATTCACTCTTAAAAGAATTTCTTCGGATAAATGGGTGCTTAGGTTTACTTGTATGAGAGTCACTTAAAATAGGATGGCTTACGTTTCACTGACATTCTATACGTTTTTCTAATTTGCTAAATTAAATATGATACTGTTTCAGTAACAGGAGTGAAATGAAAATATAATTTGCCAATCTTTTTTAAACTTTTTTACTGATTTAAACGTAGAAACAATTTCTGTAAATTTTGAAACTTTGAGATAAAATCTTATTTTAGTTGTACGACACCCCTTTTCCATGGTCAAATACTCTTTCACAAATTCAATCAAATAGGTGTTAGTTATCTCGTTTGACATCATCTGCAAGCTAGAGATCCATTATTCATAAAGCGAGCACTTCAGTCGTTGTTGTGAACCTAACAACACGCCCCTCCTCCCCTAAACCCCACTCCGCCCTCCAACCCACAGCCATATTGAGATTCACTGAGATAGATTCGTACCATCTCTGTTGGGGACGTATCTCCAGTTATTTGTCAAGTAACAACTCCAATGAGATCCGATCCGAAAAAGTCGTCCAGACCAGAAAGTAGTGGATATAATTAGATTTACGATATGTGAGATTAGCTTTTTACAAGTTACACAATTAAATAGAATGAAAATAATATAATTTTTAATAATTAGTTTAATCGAGGCTTTTATATTGTTTCAACATATGTATTTGAAAATCTAAAGGGTAAAGAGTGAATAATCAGAAAAAAAAAATCATTCAGACTGGAAGGTAACAGTACAGTTTCTCTTGATTCATTCCAATAATAAAGTTGGAATTAGTTTTACTGAGATCAAAATATTTTGCAATAAAGAAGTTCGTTTGAACTTTGTTGGAAACACCCTCCCAAGAAATTAATCACTTATACATGATATTATTAAGATTTTTATTTCAACTTTCCATGACGTTTTAATTAACGATTCAATTGATTTAATTTATGTTGATCTGGTGCTATATAACGTGTAACTTTATTTAGTCAAATATTCATAATATGAGTACAAAGGTTAATCCTATAACAGTTGTCACCTTTTGATTTCTTGACACTAATTAGCGTTATAGGACATGCTTACATGCTAAAGGCGTTTATACAGAATAATTTGTTCGCATTTTCTATAGCTAATAAATAATTATTATATTCCTGTGGCTGTGCCTTTACGTTACTGCAGGGCGATGCAAAAAACCTTACCAAAAATATATTGTGTTAGGACTATGATTTGTGATATTACGAAATATTGATGATAATATATGAGTAATATATGTTCCATACGATCTTTGAATAACCAATCATATCAGTTGGCACATATGAACTCCAATTTTAAATCTATTATATACTTCTCTTCCACCTCACTCTTGTAATTTTTATATGGGTTACTATGATTGCAAATATGCGTTATAGTCCTTGGCCTCAATAGTACGTAATTGAGATCTGATTGTACGCTCGGGTGGACTGCGGGAGTCCATATTATAATTTCATTAATTCTATACGTTCTTCCCTTGTCACATGAGTATAGCATTACAAAACCAATCATGTACGGCACTTATATGACCTAAACGTTCTGTTTCAGGGACATGGGAGGAAACGGGCGTGGAATGGGACTGTTGGACGGCAGAAACCTTGGACCGGGAATGGATGGCAGGAACATCGGACCAGGAATGGACGGTCGAGGTCTCGGGGTCGGAATGGATGGGAGGAGTCTAGGGTCGACGTTGGACGGACGGGGTTTGGGACCTGGGCTGGATGGAAGGGGTTTGGGGCAAATGGATACCAGAGGAATGAGTCAAATGGACCCTAGGAATATGGGACAGATGGATTCTAGGGGTATAGGACAGATGGACTCTAGGGGTATGGTACAATTGGACTCAAGGGGTATGGGGCAAATGGACTCAAGGGGTATAGGGCAACTAGACTCACGGGGTATGGGGCAACTAGACTCTAGGGGAATTGGACACTTGGATTCGCGGGGGCTAGGGCAGTTGGATGCAAGAGGCATGGGGCAAACTGACAATAGGGGAATAGGTCAAATGGATAGGGGCATGGGACAGCCTTTAGACAGTAGGGGATTGAGTCAATCACTTGACGGGAATAATATGGGGCCAACAATGGATGGTAGAAGTTTGGGACCTCCGATGGATGGAAGAGGCCTGAGTACGAATGTTGATGGAAGAGGTTTGGGACAGACTATAAACGGAAGGACCGTGGATGGAAGAAACGCGGTATCCACGTTAGACAGTCCACATAGGCAGGAGCTCGGCATGGCGAGGCCGTTGCACGGCTCCTTCCAGACCCATGACAATAGGCAAGTGAGCCAAGATACGTTCTCCTCCAGTATACAAAAGGACAGTTTCCTTCAGCAGCGCCAGGACTCCTTTAGTAACTCCGCCAAGTCTGACTCCTTCTTCAGCAATAATGTAAGTCATGATATCATTTAGTTAAAGTCTCATTGATATCTTGCTAAGTGTATGTATGTTTGTATTCTGTTCGTGTGGTAAATAATTCCTCACTTAAAGTGAGGGACTCATTCTAGGGGGGAGTGTGTAGTGTCCACTCTTCCTTATGGTCTTTACCACCATATTAAAAGACAGTTGTTTTAACTAAATATTTAACATATGTTGGTTTTATTATTATTAATTTTTGATTTGTAAACAGTTCAGTTTTTACATTGTTTTTTAATACAACTTTTAATTCATACATCTATTGATTTTCATCATTTACTTTATTGTTTTGTAAGAAGGTAGGGTGAGTGTTGAAACAATATCAGGATCTGCTAACATACACAAGCATTTCATTTAAGTGGGCAGGTTGCTATACCAGATACCATCATTGGTAATAACGTGTAAGTGTGAGTTTTTTGGTTCCGGAGGAACTATGCCTTAAGCCTGGTTTCTACGTAGGATGTAAATCTAATTTATTTTCAAAATTAAATTTCTCGGTTTTTTTTTAATTGCTGTTTTTCCAAATTGGAGGATTGATTTATTTTAGTATTTATTTTCTAAATACAATCGTATCATTACAATATTTTATTTTAATTGATATTAATTTGTCTTGGTTGTAGACCTACAGGCCAATAGTTAACACCAGTCGACCGATACAACCTTTGTTTATGTGACTGATCACCGAGTATATTTTTTACACGAGCATAGATGAGTATTTTTTTAAAGAAATAAACCGTTACAGTAAACGATGAATTTATTATAACCTACAATAAGCCATACCTAAATACCCCCGCCGCAGCAAACCTGCCGACTAAGCGAATTTCCATTTGTCTGAATTGATTTTCAGTTAAATTATATTTTAATAACATTAGGTTTAACGAGTACCTAGGTTTGCTGCTACAAGGAAACAAATAAAGTGTGTTTTTGAGTAAAATATTGATAGCTTAGTACAAAATAAATAAATTTGACAAGTTTGATCAAAATATATTCATAAACAAGCAAACTACAACATTTGACAATATTCTCCATAAGAATAACATGGGAATTTTAAATTTACAATTTTTTAAATTTTCCCCGTTACTAATAATTGAACAAAAATACTTTTATATACTAAATTATTTGTTTTTTTAAGCTCTTTAAAAAGGTCTAAACAGAAATTGGGAAATTTTGTGTTTTGAGGGTCAAAAGTGAGAAAAACCAATTTTTACCCCATAAAACCCCCCGTAAAGCCCCGTTCCCATGGTCCGATCATGCTGGTTCGCGAACTCATTCAAGTTTATCCCACTTTACACCTTTAAACCAAATTTCATCAAAATCGGACAAAAATTACTCAAGTTATCGCGTTCACGGACGTATATATATATATATATGTCTATATATATATATATACATATATAAAAATTTGAAAGAGTAGTGTTTTTGGCCTCTGGGGACATCAAAATGAAAAAGTAAATCGGTCCCGGGTCTAGGTCTTACCGTGCCACCTACGGTAATAGCTACTTCCCTATAGGGAAATTCGCTAAAATGAGATAGTTTTACAATTATTAACTTATAACAAAGACGGAGTGAAATGCAAAGCATTTGCTGTTTCCTTAGGAAAATGGAACACTCTTAAGATAAACCACCTACCAATTCGCTTACCTCTGATACTAACTGGCTAATCGGTATTTCCACTTAACACTACGTCGAGAGTTGGAGGGGAGAACCAATGTAGAGCTAGTCTTCCCTACTGAAGAACCCTTGACTCTTCTACTCTGCGATCAACCCTCGACACACTGATTGTTCTATTTTACTATTAAACAAAGAGGTTACTCAGTTTGTAGGTACCGTATAATTTGTATCTTTAGTTGTAGTTTTTTGTCCCACCTTTACATCCTAGGATGCTAGGTTCTAGCCCTGGACTGTTTTACAATATTACTTAAGGCTTATCTTAGAGGGTCGCGGTATTATCGGAAAAAATGCGTTGGTAGTTGGCGGGATTTGAACCCGAGACCTCGGGTTTCGAAGCCTCGAGCTCTACCTCTAAATCAGCTTGCTCCCCCATATCTTGAATAGTAGTACAGTAGTAATATGCTATTGTTATTCATATTTCTGTGCGATTCTAACGTTACATCTTAAAACGTAAAGTATAATGTAAAGTATGTTTTGATTGTAGGCCTAATGGTTTTTATATAGTTTCTCTTAATATTTATTACTTGCAATAACAAGTACAGTTATATGTTTCACATTTATTTTATTGTATTGCAAAATCACGTATGATTTCGAATTGGATTTTAAAGATATTTCAGCATGTTACAGACACTATATTTTTTCAATCTGGGCGTAGAAAGAGAGTGGACGAGAGTTAGGAAAACCAATTGGTGAATATCCTACCACCGTAGATACATTTATAAACAGAGATAGAAGTAATGCAATAAAATAGAGTAACTACTCCACGTTGATGGTCACAACTGTTTTATTCCTCATGCTACTCAGGTTTACTCATATACTTAACACAAACACTATAATCTTCTCCAACTACTCAACCTAAGTAGATTGGTTCGGAGTCCTTATTTCTAGTAAACAAAGTTATAAAACAAATAACGAAATAAATATTCATTATTTATTTTACCTAAGACCGTTTTTTAAACAAGCCATTTCAGTTCAGTTCTTAGAATTGAAAAGATCCACTCAGAGCATTGTTTACTTTCATAACAGTATAGTTTTACTCATAACAACACGGGTAACGGACCAATTAGGTTCAAGGATTGAGAAAGAAGAAGTAAAATTGTAATGATTCCAACTTCAACTAATCAGCTGTTCAGTCCAATTTAAATGTTGAGTGGTGCAATTAGTGTTCGGTACAATGTTTCGTTACATCACTGTCAGTGGCAATAAGAGGTTATAAACGAAAGTATAACCTCTCTTAGAAGTTATGAGTAGTCGTATTTAGTAATTAAAACAATGTCGTAGGTAAAGTAGTGTACGCAACTCGCGTAAATAGTGTTAACAACAATATCTTTACGTAATCGTTGTGTAAACTACTATTACCTACAACAGTTTTTTTTTAAAGTAGCCGTTTCAGTTCAGTTCTTAGAATTGAAAAGTTTCACATAACAGCATTGTTTACTTACATAACAGCATAGTTTTACTTAACAACACGGGTGATGGACCAATGAGGTTCAAGGATTGATAAAAAAGAAGTGAAATTGTAATGCTTCGAACTGAAACTAATCAGCTGTTTACCAATTTAATTGTTAACGATTGGTGTATTGGTAAAATGAGTCGTTGCATCAATGTCAGCGACAATGAGAGGTTATAAACGAAAACATAACCTCTCGTAGAAGCTTTGAGTAGTGATTATTAGTAATTAAAAACCGGTCGTAGGTAAAGTAGTGTACGCAACTCACATAAATAGTGTTAACGACACTCATTGAAGTGTTTAACGCACTCACCAAGGCGTGTCTTATATTTTCTACTCGTGTCATTAACACTATATTTACGCGATCGTTGCGTTAACAACCACCCAAAATCATTATATGTGTTATTGGAAATTATAAACTAAACCCTTATCGTGTTAGTACTAAAACAGTGAAAGTATAACCTTTCTATAAACGGTCATCGTTAAAGCTTCAAATATTTGTATATTTAAGCAGTTTTTTTGCCTGAGCTGTGGCAGGAGGGTAAGGACACAGAAGAGAGAATTGTTTTTATTAAGGTATACTTTATTTATTTATTTTAAATCAAAATATCGTAAATTCTACTAACTAGCTTCCTAATAGTTCTCTTTGGCCTTTTAGCTGTCAGGTAGAATCAAGTAATTAGCTTGATCGAAATTTTAAAAAGCAAACATTACGTCGTTTCTTTTTGTTGCCATGAAGAACAACTGTTGTCTCCGAATCTCCATCTCTGAACTTTGGACGACATTGTGCGTAGTCGAAAGTTATTAAGAAAATCATGAATCTTTTTAAGTTGGGTAGGTTCGTGATTTACATCTGTGTAAAATTTAATCCCAGCCGGTTCAGCGGTTTGGCTTTCGCGAGGAATAAACCGAAAACAATACAGAAACCACCTCAATTTTATAAAATTATATGTAGATAAATTTAATATTGTAAATTTTGCAGGTTTTGACTTCTTTAAGGGGTTTCACAACAAAATTTCAATAGACTAATTATACTTTATATCTTGGGCTGTTCTTTTATCTTTTATTTCAAGCACTTAAAAATTATTACGCAACAAAAATTCTATTTGCTGTAATAACCTGGTTGATTAAATAATATATGAAAATGATTAATAGCGAAATCCTAATTTTATGAAAACCTATTATCAAACATTCTTTACTCTATTAATAGAAACTGTAATACAACAACATTTTTTATTGCCCTAAATATAGGAAATTCGGTACAATCGTAAAATTACAAATATAACAATGAAAGCAACGATATAATGGCCATGGCATGTCATTATTGAAGCTAAATGTGTAACAAGTGTGCAGTTTATTTATTGCAAGGTACAATATACTAGTCCAGTGATTTTCTGACGTTGCAGCGCAAAATAGATATGCAACGGTGTATAAATATCGTCATAATGTTTATAAACGAAACTTAAATGACATTTTCAACCGGTTCATTATTAAATTCCGAGAAATGTTTTCCACCCTTACGCTTTGTAGTTTATAACATTTTCATATTCAATTTAATCTTTGTTTGTGATAAATAAACCAAAGCATTTTGTAGGATAATAAAGGCTTCGATTATAATCTAATCTAAATAGGGTGTGTCATAAGTAAGTACAAGGAATTTAGCAATAGATTTATTTAGTCAAAGCAAAACGAAAATCAAGAATACATTTTTTTCAAAATGCCTCGTTAGCAAGATATTAGCCATTATGTTTTTGTGTTTCAAATTTATTTCTAAAAAATTATTAAATATATCTTTATGAAACTTGGTATAAACTTTTATCAAATCATAATGTTTCTATTAAAAAATAATCATTAC